TCCAACATCACATTAGAACACAACAATTCCAGGAATTATTAACACAAATGGACACTATACAATGACAATCAATTGACCAAAATTTACGCAAACTTGCCGAAACAGCAGGATTTGCAGATATCTATACACAAGATTATAGCGGATATTTTAAAGACATTAAAGACTATATATATCTAAATGGTGAAAAATACAGACCACAAGATATTTCACCTATAAATATTTTTAATTTTGTTACACTAAAAAATGAAATTCTCGATTTTCTAGGATAGCCCTATTACATCTTAGAAAAATTAACTATTTTATACGCAATGTTTAACTTTATAGGATTTCTTTTTTCACTTTTAAAAGGAATCTATAACACATGTGCTATACACACACAAGTAAATAGACAAGCAAGTGTAGCACGCATACTATTTGCAGGATTTTTTAGAATTTTTTCATCATCAATAAACAAAATTCTTCTAGACGCACAAAGAAAAGAATATAACACAAAAATAGCGACAAGACAGAACACGTACGACGAAGAACATAATAATATAGAAGTAACGCCTACAGCACCACAGTTGCCACCCCTACCACATAACCATCCATTATCCTTAGTCCCACGAAATTTCCGAAATTTAGCAATAACCCATAATCCAAATTTTAGACCAAACATATCGCAAAGTCCCATACAACATATAATGACACATCATTCACAAGATGAAAATACATATGAACAAATTATCGATCAACCCCATACCACCGCTTTTCAGTCTCAAAATAATAATTTTTTTAGCCCACGATGAGCCGACAACTTGGATCCCTACACCGCTCAAATTCCCACCCAACCAACCTCAACACTCCAATTACAATAATTCCACTTTTTGCTTTCCCGCCACCCAATTTTCCAAATAGTAATATAACATCAAGCATGAATTCAGACACTAATTCAGATATTTCAGTTTTATACTCCATATCACAACTCAATAACCCTAATATAGAAACCCCTGATGAATTTGCAGACTCCGAACCATCTCCATCCAATAATTTTCAAACCAACTCCTCAGTTTTTTCAAAGCCCCCTTTTCAACCAATCCCACCAAATAACCCACTCCCATCCGTTTCTACTCCTTCTCATGCTTCACAAGTAACCCCAACCTACTCTTCATTTCATTCAGACCGATCATCCAATTCTCCAGATATTCCCCAAATCTCCCAAGAACTCGATAATTTTATCACCCTACAACAACAACTATTACACCCTAACACCCTCGCTGTAAATCAAAATTCTTCCTCAATAGAATCCTCAAACCCACCTATCCCTACACCTCAGTACTTACTGCATCATTAGCACAATCATCCACATCCACCGAATCATCAAATAGCACTAACCGAGCTTATCGCACTTTTAAAAGGAAATTCCCGAACCATCCATTCCCGACCAAACCAGGAACAGCCTGCGAATATATTAATCATCCACACCACACCAACACGAAAGATTTTCTAGCAATCACCTTACCATCATTCCCACAATATACATTAAACACACCTAACGACACTAACGACACACGTAGTTTTGTAGATGAACATGTTTTAATGCCTACACTTCATTGGACAACATATTATCATTTTACTAATCCCCTTTGTCTACCGTTATCTAATACCCATAACGATATAGAAAGGAATAAAGATATGCTATATCGACTCACCACACCACTAACACATAGACAATTTACTTATCTAGGATATAAAAAATCACTAAAAACATTCACTGCACCCCGAGCTAAAGAATTTACACTAGAATATTACGACAATAATATCATCCGAACTAATCAAGATCAATTTTTAGATGACGACCGCTTCGCTAACCCACAACTAACCGAAAAAATTTTCATCAAAACACCATATGTATTTACACTCAATATATTTGATCGAAAATTTGATCACATCATTTCTGAAGCACTAACTGACATGCAAGCTTACGAAAGTTTTAAAGAAAAATTTCAATTATTTTCGTTAACCTTCCACTTCCTTACACCACATGAACGCGATTTGCACTGCTCACACGACATTATGTTACGCACTAAATAAACTCACACATATACATATTATCGCTTCATACAAAACCATTTTGATCTACACACTCCATCAAGACAACCACACAACCGTTTTCAGTTTCTTAATTCAAAGTACACTTCGCCATTTTTTCTAAATTTCAAATATTGCATCAAAGATACTAACCTCCACGGCATCCTCCGCAATTATGACCCAATAACACAAATGTATATATTTTGTCCCATCACGAAGACCTTTAATGCAGAAGAATCCAGACCCTTCCTTATCCCACATGAATTTATCCAACCTATAGAAATCCCTATATTAGAATTCATCCACAATACTAAATACAATCACAAAATATATAATCTCATTCAAAACACACCTTACGAGTTTGCAGTTGGCACGTAAGAACTAAAAACTATTAAAGCACTTCAATTGCTTTGGCCACTGCTTCAAACTAAAAACATCATTCGCATACTAGCAAAATTACTAACAAATTCAGACATGATACACGACATCTTCCCCCACGGTTTTTTCCCCGACGACTAACAGGTAAGTATAATTTATACATATTCTTCACTAATAAATTTAAATTAATACTAACCATTCTTTACTCATGTCTCATTTAGATTTTTAGTCTTCACCCCACGATCATCTGCAAAAACAGAAAAGAAAAATAAAAAACTTGTTAAAATTCTTCTCAACTTTTTTAATATTTTGCACTAGATAAATATAATAAAATTCATACAATGTAATAAATTAATTTATAAATTGTTTCCCCAAAAGCAGTAAATTTCATAAAAATGAAAATTTGTAACTTAACTTTTCCCCAAAACTAGCAGTAAAATTAAAATTCTATGTAGTAAATTGATAAAATGAAAATGCAGTACTAACCTTTTGATATTTTCATTCACTCGCACAAGAATTCTATCCAAACTCGCACAGCTCGCCCACGAAGAATTGTTTAAATAATGAGTTTCAGTTTCAAGTTTTCACACTTAACAACTCTAACACACGATAACAAGTTTCAAACTTTCCTTTAAACCGGTTGGAAAGGAATTATATACTAAACAAAACTAACCAACGCAGCTTACTAAACACCACAAATCATAAAATAACAGCATGACTAAGAAAAGAAAACCAACGGTACCCAAACCGGATTAACCCAGCTTAAAACTGGATAATTTATTCTTTTGAAGACTATTATAAAGTCTAAAAAAGAAATAATAAAACACAAAAAAGTCGAAAGACAAAGCCATAACAAAAACAATTTGATTTTTGAAAAAAGGACACAACCAACGGAACATAAGAAAGACCACCAAAAACCTAACATAAAACGTTATCACATAACAGGACCTCTCACAGAAACCGCACGAAATCATACTCCCACTCCTGGCCTAACCCACCAGAGAGGACGTCCTGAGCATGCTCTATAGCCGGCCTAACCCACCGCGCTACATCCACGCTTTGTGACCACACTTCTATTTTTAATAAGAGGTACTCAAGGGTGAGTAACTCTTCAAAATAACCGAACTAAAACAAAATGCTTTTGTGAAAACAACTAACCAAGATCATAATTAAAACACTGAACTAATAAAAATTTTATAAAATGTAAATTATAGATCAGCATACAACAACAAAGACGAACATCCAAAGACAAAATGACCCCACTACACTCGAAAAAGAATGGCCAACCACAACTAATATGCCGTCCACAATCACAACTCAAAGGATTTAGAGTACGACTTGACTTCGCAGAAAAGGACTTCATTGAACTAGACCAATGACCACCTCGATGTTCGAGTATACGTACAGATCCGAGTTACAAGGCACCCCCTCCACGCACAATCTCCACGCCATTCCCAGACGAGGTCGAACACAAAAGAAGTTCTCTACATAAAACAGAAAAACCCGTCATAGCAAACCATTCTGAAATCAGATTGATTTCATTGGGAAACACCGTCGTTGTCACAAGAAGACACAACGATTGATGTCACTAACTCCAGCGTCCTGGAACTTCTCTAACAAGAGAAACCGGACAAGAGTACGATGTTCGCCAAATACCAACGTCCATCATCCATCCTTTGAATTGCAGAAAGATAATTCTAAAAAACTCTGTAAAACCCGGATGGGTGGAACCTGATCTAAACTATGTTTTATGATTGGATAAATTAGATATTTTACAACTGTAAAGTATTTAATATTAACCAGTCATGATCCATCTAACTAACAACCCACATTTTTGTAAGTGCTGAAATTACTTGTAATTTCAGCACCAGAGAGATTTGAATTTAACTTAGAAATTAGTTGCCTCTCCAAGAGAACTTCAGCAGCCGCAACAAACCAGTATACCCTAGATCTATTGAGCCTAGCAGAGACTAGTTAAATACCCTGAGACTAGAAAGTATAAGAGTAAGGTTAGGATCGGTATTAGACTAAGAAGTTGCACGAATCTATCCGGCCGAAAATAAGATAGCCTGACGAGCAGACGGTGTACCCTATCCGAAATTACTCTATGAGTTAACCACATCGGACCTAACTCATTTAGTCTGTTAGCCTGTCTAAACATTTTCAAAAAATTAGACATTAACAGCCACAATGGTGCAAACGAATTGCAGTCTGGTGTGAGATTCTCAGCAAGTTGATTTTTCGAGGTTTCATTTTTGAGACCTCCTTCATTTCAGGTCAAACTAGTTCGTAAAAAGTACTCTACAGTAACAAAAAAGCCAAATGCACAAAATACGTGCAGTTTCAACTAAAATGATATTCAAAAACATCACGACAACATGAGGAATTTAAGGTTAATTAACTGCCTTCAGATTCGTTGATTAGGAAAAATATTGCCAGCAAATTGACATTGGCTTGTAAGGAGTCTGGTGACTCACCTTTGCTTGGCTGAATTAAAGGCGATTAGTTTATGTTGATCCCACGTCCCACCATTGTATGCCTTTTATTCTTAGGCGGAGAGTTTATTCTGACTGAGAAAGAAAGAGGCCGACAGAGCAATTTACAGGACTTAGTAATTGCTTTTGCCCAGGAATGGCCAGGTGAGATTCATTTGGATGCATTCAGACATAAAAAAATGATTAAAATTCAAAGAATGAAAAAAAAAGCAACCCGAGAAAGATTTTTATTGAAAATATTCTATTTAATGGAATGAAATCCTGCTGCCTATTTAGCCAAAAACATGACTTTGATGAGCCAAAAAATAAAAAAAAGTTCTAGCAAAAAAAAAAGTTCACAGGTCACAAAAATTGTTCCGATCACTGAAAAGTCGCGAAAGCCTTGAACTGCTTAATATCGCTCGTGGCAGCAAGCAAATGCCTACTTCGGATCGCCAAACACTTTAAATGCTGAAGTTTTGTCGAAAAAATGTTGCCATAAAACATTAACTCTGTTGCTTCACTATAATTTATTATATTCAGTTGTTAACCAGTTTGTGTTAGTGAAAAAGCTGTTCTGAGTTATTTGATTATAATAAAAGTTACCCTTTCTGCCATTCCCAGTGGATCTATGAAAGACTTCGCAGCCTGTCTAAGCGTACTCCATTTCCCCACATTTCAGACTGAGTTATTTTGTTGAGCGCAGCTGTTTTTGTCCCACCATTTTAGTTGGTTCAATAGAATCAGAAAAACGGAAGTTATGCGTCATCTCGCTAACTGCAGACGACTTTGACTCAAGAGGAGACATTAAATTCAAGCACAAATCCGGTCAGCAGCTATGGCGTGGAGGCATGCACTATTTTCAACCGAATTCTGGCTGGATTCGGGTTGGATTGAAATGTATGGACAGGTAAAAAAAATGAGATTATATCTTAATTTTTTATTTCCATTACAGGCAATTTTTTCCAATAATAAGAATATGTGTTCATAATGAAATCGTCTGTTTTATAAATTAAAAACAGAATAGAATGTTTACATTTTCATTATTATCGGTGTGTTAAAAATGTTGGTGACTCACAGCAGACACATCTGATCTAGACAGTGAACTTCATTGTTATTTAAGTGAAAATTAAACTATCGAAAATTCTGGGACTAGAATAAAAGGCCGATATTTATATTTAAAAGCACCTCAGAACGACGCGCTAATTTTTCATCTCTAAAAAGTTAGTTTTTAAAATTTAGGCAAAAATAGTTCATAATAAAGGTTATTCTTAATAATTCACTACTTAGGAATGGCATCAGATAGTTTAACACGTGAAAAACCACTTCAATGATATGAAGATATCAACTTCCTAAGTTCAAATTGAAAAAGATAATTTACCTTCAATCTTTTTTTGAAAAGTTCTGGCGGTTTGAAAATTACTAAATTGGCCATGTTCTGGACTAAATTATCAGCGCTTTGAAGAATTTATTCATATTCCTAAGAGCGTAACGCGAATTACTTACGCGTGGCGAACTATACCGCACAACAAAATCGTTCCAAATTGAAATGAGGCTAACTACCTGGGTTGACCAAAACTTCTTATCATACAACTTCCATATATGAGAAACTTCTTGTCATACAATTTCATACAATTCCATACTTACAGAAAATTGTATGAAAACTCTATGACAAGCATTTTTCCATATATGAAAATTGTATGATAGGTATTTTTCCATAACCCAAAAAAGTGATTTTTTGTTTCTAAATTTAATTTTTGAAAAATTTTGGTTGTGTTTGTAACCAAACACAAGTGACAAAGACCTTGGTTTACTCAGAGCACTAAAGTTTGGAGGGTCTCATGCATTTACAATGCATAGAAAACGACCTGAATTGTCTTCAAGTTGTCTTTCACAAGTGATATTACAAAAATAACAAGTGATATAACAAAAATAACAAACTTTTAAAATTTGGCGAAATTTTTCAATGATGATTATTTTAAAAATTTTAATTTTTAATTTATCTGACATTAATCGAGGCATACATAAACACACCATACAACGAAATAGGATTTTTCAGCGTTTTTGAGAAAAATTCGAAAGCAAAAAGGAAAAAAAATCCCAACATAAGTGTACCCAGGACTACGTTATGCACACAAAAAATTCAATTTGCGGTTGAAAAAAAAACAAAAAAAGTTTGGGGCAAAAAAAAATTCTTTGTGTCGCCATTAAAAAAAGCTAGTCATACAATTTCCATAAATGGGAATTGTATGATAAGTATTTTTTTCATAAAACGGAAACCTCTGATTTTTATCACCAGATTGTTTGATTAGAATCAAACAGCGGCAGAAATTAGTTTATATCTTTTTTCACCCATTTTTCGAAATTGTATGAAAATTGTATGACAAGCATTTTCTCCCACACATGATGTATGGAATTGTATGTTAAGCATTTTTGGTGTATGGAGGTCAACCCGGGTAATCAGATTGGTCGTATTGTTTTTGTAGGACTAAACATTTCGCACTTTGATATTGTCCAAAATTTATAGGTTATCAATATTTTCTTTTCCCAACAATTATTCGATATGAATTAAGGGAAAGTCGGAACATTCAGGGTTTTGTTCTGTTATACGCCCGGGTTGACCAAAAATGCTAGTCATACAATTTCCATATATGGAAAAATGCTAGTCATACACTTTCCATGCAATTCCATATGTACAGAAAATTGCATGAAAGGTCTATGATTAGTATTTTTCCATATATGGAAATTGTATGACTAGCATTTTTCCATAAACCAAAAAGTTTGATTTTTTACATTATAATTTATCAAAATTTATTGGTTGTGTTCGTAACCGAACACAAATGACATAAATCTTGGTTATTCAAACGTAGTAACCAAAGGTTTGGCCGTCACGCATTAAAAACGCTTTGAAAACAGCCTGCAATTCCTTAATTCTGTCTTAACGCAAATAATATAACGAAAGTATCAAACTTTTAAATTTTGGCAAAAATTTTCAAAGATGATTATTTCTAAAATTTGAATTTTCAAATTAGCAGACATTGATCAAGGCATACAAAAACATGCCATTCAAAAAAAAGAGGAGTCTTAAGCATTTTTGAAAAATGTTATCAAGAGAAATGGATAAAAATCCAATATTAGAATATCCAGGACTACGTTATACACACAAAAAATTAAATTGTGCATGCAAAAGTTTTTTTTTCAGAAAAGGTTTGTTTGAGTACGAAAATCATTTTGCGGTTGAAAAAAACGCAAAAAAATTTTTGGGGGCAATTTCAAAAATACTTTGAACAATTTTTGTTGTCGCCATCAAAAAAATGCTAGTCATACAATTTCCATATATGGAAATTGTATGATTAGCATTTTTTTTTTGACAAAAAATTTTTCTTTTTTATTTAGTACGATACACCAAAATTTATGCCAAAACAAGAGAAAAGTTCAATGACACCATTTTAGCAAAATATATGAAATTTGTATGATTAGTGTTTTTTCATAGACTTAGTTTATGGAATTGTATGATTAGCATTTTTGGTCTATGGAGGTCAACCCGGGCGAGCAGTCTTGTTTCACATGTTGCCCTGTTATACGAGCAGTCTTGTTTCACATGTCGGTTTGATTTCCGGCACCCAAATATTCTATCCTGCTAATATGTAAGCAGTCAATTTGTTGCTTGCCAAATTATCTTGTTTTCCCGCAAATTTGTATTCTTTTTGTGCCTAGTGTTGCCTAGCAGCTCTCAGTTGTGCCTAGCAGCTCTCAGCAAGTTTAAATCAAAATTAAATGCTTGGGTGGAAGATGTTAACATGGTCTATCTAGGGAAGATGTTAACTTGGTCTATCTAAACTTCCTAGTTTTCCTTTCAAAATTTTTTTGCGGTTAAACAAACAATCAAGATAAAAAGCACACTGCTTAAAACTTTTAATGAGCAATAAACAGCTTCAAAATAGTTCGATGACAGTTCTTTTTTAGCGTATTTTACAGTTATTATGTACCACGAGCTTAGGCAGGGCAGTACAACAGTGCCGAAGTACAACAGTGTCGAAAATGAAAACTTTGTTCAACAGTGCCGAAAATGAAAACTTTGTTCAACAGTGCCAAAAATTTGAATAAATTTCAACATATTAAGTGCGGCTATCAAAAATTAAACAGCGATCGTTTACAATCTTAAGTAAAATTTTAAGATTTTGAGCGAGAAAATTTGCAATTTAGACGTTTTGGCGCCAAAATTATTGTTTAATTTGCAGTTGCAGACATATTGGCGCCAAAATTGGAGTGACTTTCTTTGATAATTAGCGCCAGTAATTTCTCGCTCTTAAGAAAATGTGTGTAAATTATTCTGAAATTTTCCCGCCTTTTTCGGCACTGTTGTACTTCGGCACTGTTGAACACCCCCGCTTAAGCATTGCAATCCAATAGGAATACAAATTTTGAGTAAAATGAGCATGCACGGCATATAGGTTCTACATTGTAAACTTCATGAAGAAAACGATGATTAAAAGAGCTTTTTGAGATACCTTTTTTCGCAAAATTTTTACTGTTTTAGGGTTTGATCAGTATTTCAGTACTATCAGTAAATTTTATACAATTCAGTCTTTTATTTAGACTGAGTTTGGTCAGAGCAATTTGTATATTTCAATCAAAACAGTAGTAAAATCAAACTAAGTCCAAATAAAGAATTGAAATGTAATATACATTCTGATTATGGCATTGGTCGATGCAAGCTAATGTAGTTTTTTTAATGTGTTTTTGCCCGTTCTTTGATAACTCCTCGATTTCTGTTCGCTACCACCGAGAGTGCATAAAGCGTTTTATTGGTATCCCCTCATATAGGTATGATGGGAACAACGACTGGCTTGCAATGAATGGGAACCCAAACGAATGGGCTGTTGGATTCCACGGAAGTGACCAAAAAGGAACCGAGTTAATAGCACAAACCAGAATCTTCAAAGAAGGCAAAAGGCAGCACTACCAATACTCAGAGGATATCAATGAGAAAAGCAACAATAGAGGCAAATTGTGTGGAAAAGGAATTTATTTCGGGTCTCAAATTGAAATCGCAGAGAGATTTTCAAACTTCAAATCGGACAATAAAACCTGCGTTCTCCAAGTAAATCAGTATATTACATGTTTCAGGATATTGCGGACTTAGGTATTTGTAGATATAGATTTTATGTTCCGACTTCCGAAGAAATAAGTGACGGAATGTTTGCGATCAGATTTTTTCTCCAGAAAAACTTTCGTTGACTGTTTGATACTGATAAGATCGAATTGTTCAAAACTCAAAAATATAAGGCAAAATATTGATATCCAAGGCACGTAATTTTATCCGCGACTATTTCTTCTAAAATGGTCTTGTATATACGTTACCCCAGATACAACATATACCTCTTTGAAATCAACATAGCGTGTGGGGGGATGAAATTAAGAAATATGAACACTGAATTTTTTTCATTCTAATTTGTTAATATTTTTTCAACAAAGTTTTTTTGCCAAAAGTCTTTTCATCGACGCTAATATGCAGTCGAAAAATTAAGGCTGCACCCTGATTTTCTTTGATTTTCACCACTAAAAACGAGATATTTTTTCTTGATGATTCAGCAATTTTAAAGCCCTGTACAATTTTTTTGAAAAAGTGAATTTTTTGTAACCCAATTTTTCTTAAACTAAAGGTAACCCTTATGTTCATAGCGAGTCAATGTTGGCGCGCCAAAGTTTTTCGGACCGGTCATGCCAGTAAACAAAAAGGTGAAGTAATTCAATCACACCAAAGCATTGAACCATAATCTTACATTCAAATCGAAACAAAAGATCGGCGGAATCGTCAAAAATTGTTATTTTTGTTTTCACAGGTACGAATGAAGCCAGATGAGCTAAGGATACCGAAGGACAAAACAGACTACAGAATTGTACAGGATGCCCAGTTTGTGAGACCATACGGATTGTGTCTCAAGTATGCGCCTGCTGTTGAGCCATGCTGTGCCAAAAAGTGTAACCAAACTCAAACTGAATAAATCAGTAATTAGTTTTTAGCAGCTTCAGAACTGCGTTATTAAGATTAATTTTAAATTGGATTTATCAGAATGTTTATCAAAAAGTGGTTCACTGATAGATTGCAACAGACATTCGAAATTTTAATTTTAATTTTTTTGTAAGCTAAACCTTCATATGGTTGATTTATGTAAAGAGCAAAAATATCAGAACCAAACGCTCAGTGTCCGCTTTAATTCATAAATATCAACCCTCCGTTTAAGTAAATATAAACCCTGCGGAAAACAGAGTCACCCAGGCTCGATACATGTTTCCAACAGAGCTGTACAATCGTCGATCCCAGTTGATGCGCCGCAGGTGGAGCAGATCGATTATGACGACTGAACTCTAAATATGAACAAATCACTCGTTCAGTAGCTATTCCAATCATCCTTATTAGCGTTGTCTGTAAGTTTTCAATCGTATTCCTGCTGTAAAGGGCGCACAAAAGTTTTAGAAAAAAAAACGAAACGGAATGAAATTAAAAAGAGCTAGACTGCTCTTTTCACGGCAAAACCCTGAACGATGGGGCTGCTCTTCAAAGTCTATAGAATACTTTTTCATTCATAATGTGATGTAGATAGCGTTATTAAACGTATCAACAACCACACCAAATATATAGATTGCATCAGGAGTGCGGTCAAAAAGTAGACATGTTGCAAAATAGACAAGTTGTAAGCTAATCAAAATCGAGATGAGAAGACAAATGTACTAAACATTGTCTTTTCTCGGATCTGATTGGCTTCTGATGCATCTACTTTATGACGTTTTTTTGCTAGCAATTTTTGTTGGCGTTTATTTTGCGAGCAACCATTGCATCAATATCTTCGAAAGTGTTCACCGTAAGAACAAATAATAAGCCTCAATTTAATTTCAAACTATTTCGAAGTCAAGTTAAAGGGCAATGTTGTGAGTAATTTTATGTCTTTTATATTTATTTAACAGGCCTCTCCTGAAATTATTTAAAGCCAGCCACTCCTTTCGAGGGCTTTGATGCTTTTTATCTGATAATTTAACTGAAAACTAAGTCAATTAATTAAACATCTTATCTTACTCTCATTTTAAGTACTTTAGTGCAAGCATCAAATCAATTTAACATAGTGCAGTCTAGCGGAAAAAAAAACGAGCATGAGTTGAATTGCAAGTTTTTATGAAAACCATGATAACATCCGTGAAAAGACTTGTTAAAGTTGTAAGTGTAGAAAATCAAAAAGGTTGTTAATAAGTTGTAATGTAGACAAACTGTTAGGCATCAAATCGAAATCTTAGTGCACTCTTTTATTTCAGATCCCATCGGACATTAGAGATCGCAAGGTCAAGACAGCAGGTCCCCAGACAGAAAAAAGAATTGATAGCACTTACATAAACTCAAACTGGTGTCTATCTAGAACAATTGATAGCACTTACATAAACTCAAAACTGGTCCCTATCTCATTCGGGCAACCACAAATAAAATTTAGAGCGTAGATATAAAATTTATCAACTCTTTGTTACTATTTGGTATTGTATAAATGTACTAGTTAAGTTTTAGTTTACGTTGAGTTTTCTTACCCGCCAAACCTCTCTTAAGGTTTATTTTTCTCCTTTTTCTCTCTTTTCTTGTCAGTTTCCTCATTTGTGTTCTATTCGGTGGATCATAACCCCCCCCATTTTGTCAACTCCGCGTCTCTGTAGTGTTGATTTCCACGTCGCTGTTTCACACTGAATTATATTTCGTTTTCCACCGACGGATTTTGGTGATTTCTCCCTAACCGACGGTACATCATTTCCTTCGTTCGCCGCACCTTTAATTGGTTCACTTCGCTCGCTTTCCCACTCGCTATCTTCGTCGTCCTCGCTCTCGTCCGCACTGTATTCCACTATCCGTTGTTTCGTCGATCTTCTTGCGTTTACTATTGCGATTCGATCCTTTTCGGCTTTGCGCTTATACTTGTTGGACTCGCTTGGGGCCGGGGTACTATGTACATTTCTACTCGGTCCTGGGGTGCACTCATCGCTTCTACTCTCAGTTAGGCGTTCTTCAGCCGCCGATCTAAAAGACACACCACTCCGCCTTAGTAACTACCCTTTTTCCATTTTCACCGTATGCTTAGTCAATTTTTCAATTTTTGATGGCAAACGTTTATACCTTCTTGGGTCCTTTGGATCCGTCTTCCCGGTCCTCTGGTATACGGTCGTGGAACTTGTTTTGTGCTTTTTGAGCCATGTTGGAGTTTTGGGTGGACTTAATTCCTTGGGGTCAACTACTTCCGGAGCCTTGGGATCCGCTACCACATCGTCATCCAAAATGATTGGAACTTTCCTTTTTTGAGGGGCGTACGCCAAATCACTTCTCTTCTCCCAATCTAGGGTGAGTTCAACTTCCTGGAGGTTTCCCGCCTTGTCTAAACAAGATAACTTTTGGTTAACAACATTGTTCCAATTTAAGTTTTTCAATGACGGCTTTTTCGTTAAATTTCGCAATGCCGTATTTGCTTCTCGGCCATGGTATGCTTCAAAAGGCGTTAATTTAGTTTTAGAATGTGGCACGAAACGTAATGCGCTAAGCGCACGGGATATCATTGCTCCAAACTTGTAGTTTTTATTTTCCTGAAGATAAGTCAACGCGTAATTTTTTATCGACCCAATAGTTCGTTCAACCAATCCTGTCGCGCGATGATCCTTAACCGGAGATTTAATAAGTTCGATACCTTCGTAGTTACAGAATTTTTGAATTTCATTAGAGAAAAACCCCGTAGCCTGATCCATGTGCAATTTCCTTGGGTGTCCATGAGTATTTATGTACTTCCTTAGGAACTTCAACACATTTTTTGATTTGTTGCTTGAACAAACATACGCCGACGGCCAATGCGAGAAGGTATCTACTGCTACAAGTACATACTTTTTCCGACTTCTTACATAATTTACTAGGCCCCAGAAATCTAATTGAACCAAATCATTTGGTTCCTTAGGAACGTACGTTTCCCCCACATACTTTTTGGAATGTCCGGTTTAAGGTTTTTACCTGCTTCTAAGCAACTTTTGCAGTATTTTGCTGTAGCCGCGTTGTTCCGATGCATAAGGGGAATCCACACGTCCTTTGCGGCAGCGAACATTTTGTCCCGCCCATGATGGTTGTAATGTAGACGGTTCAGAATTGCTGATGATAGATCCTTCGGTTTTGCTAACCGGCCGTTCATCCACAGGCAATTCTTACGTACTGCGAAATCGTTGTAATGCTGGGCGTAGTATTGTCCTAGTCTTGTTAAAATCTCCTTTGCTCGTGGGTGTTTTCTCTGATGTTATCTCTGATGGTCTTCATAATTGGGTCTTTTTCGATGTTTGCTTCAATCAATTTTAAATTCAAAACTTCCGGGTGTTCAATTTTCTTCACTATTTTACTATCCGATGGCACTATAGAGTAGATCCATTTGTCGTTTTGTACAAGTGGGTAAGATAAACCGGGGAACTGGGGTGGAAAAGATATGATTGTGTTTAGTTTTTTAGAATTAGTCTGTTTAATATCAAGTTTTTCGGGCGGTATCATTTCAATATCGGAATCCGAACTTACGCTAGGAGGTTGATTTAGGCGGTTCAGTACAACGTTTAGATTCACATTTTCCAAATTAGTTGATGTGTTGACTATGGCCGAAGTTGGAGGATCATTTTTTACAGGCGAAATACACATTTTTTTATATTTTGGGTTACTCAAATTATTCCGAATTAGGGTTTTGCTACTGTAATTTTTTAAAGTAAATGGCTTTTCACTGTAACCTTTGCTACTGTAATTCTTCAAAGTAGGTGGCTCTTCACTGTAATCTTGTAAGATGGATGGTTTGCAACTGTAAATTTTCAACGTAGAAGGCTTGCTGTTGTAATTAGTCGAACTGGAAGGATTGCGATAGTATTTAATCAATTTTTATGCTTGCAACTGTAATTTAAGCAATGAGAACAAAGTCTGAATCTCGTTCTTCGGAATTGGCATATTTCCGCCGGTATGCAAATATCTCGACGCTGATTGGTTAACCGCCGGTTGCATGTAAACACGCCCTCTATTGAGCGTTCGTGCTCACGGTGAATATTTGCATATTCGTCTTTTCTTTCATTCTCATTGGATGAAACTGATTTCGTTCTGTCGAAACATAACTGTTCGCCCCCTACCGTCGGTTTTGGCTTAATGTTATTCACTTGGTGACCCCTAGGCTTCATTTTATCCTTGGGCCTCAACGCCGCGTTTATCATTCTTATCTTTGCTACTGTAAATCTTTCATCGTAATGACCTGTCTCGGGTGCCTCTGCGGACGGAAACCCAGACAAATAGTCAGCCATCCCTTGTCTATGTTCAACTTTAAAATCGTATGGCACCAGTCGATCATACTATCGAGTTAATCGACTGAAAAATGTTTTATTTCCTTTTGGCGACGAATTCAACATTGTAAGTAGCGCTTTATGGTCAGATATGACTGTGAAATACCGACCGTATATTAATTTCGAAAATGTTCCATGGCCCACACTACAGCGAGTAATTCTAATTCGTTTGTGGAGTATTTTTTCTCAGCCGGATTAAGGTAACGGGATGCAAACGAAATCGGATGCCACCCGGATGAGCCATACTGTTCTAAAATGGCCCTAAGCCATCGTGGCTAGAGTCACAAATAATTCTAGTTTCACGGTGAATGTCGAAGTGTCGTATCTTGACAATATTTTCCACTAGCGATTTTAATTGTTGGAACGCATTTTCGCAAACGGGTTTCCAGACAAAATTGTTATTTTGACTCAATAGTGGCCTTAACGGTGCGCTTAATTCTACGAGTTTGGGTAAAAATTTGTGTTAACTGTGTAGTGAACCCATTAAAGATTTCAACTGCTTTTGAGATTTTGGGGTTTTCAAGTCTTCTATTGCTTGTGTTTTTCTTACTAAGGGCGTGATACCACTTTCCCCAATTCGAAATCCGAGCCATTCGCACTCTGTTTTCGCAAATTCGCATTTTCGCAATTTTAACCCGACATTGGAGACATCCAGCTTTTTCAATATCTTTTCCACCAACGCAATGTGTTCGATCTTAGTTCCTTTTGAAGAAATTAAGAAATCA